ACTGTGTAAGGGGGATGGCAAATGTCTGCTAAGGCATGAATCTGGTGATGAAGAAGAAGAAAACGTGCATCCATGTGTCCCTATTTCTTGCAGGCTACTTTTGTATAAGCTCTGGTTTTTTCCCTTTGCATGATGTGTTTTGTCATTGCTTTATGTGCAGTGAGAGCTCAATCCAGAGGACAAGATCCAGTTCAGTTTTCAGCTTGAAAGAGCGCGCCCTCTCTCTCTCCCTCTCTCTCTCTTTTTTTCTAGATCTTCTGTATTGTTTCATTTATTCTTTTCAGCGCAAGGTGAATGATTTAGAAATGATGCTTCATGGATGTTCGCTATCCAAATGCCATTGAATGTCTGTGAGTTGGGCATCACATTACCTTTCCTCCTTAGGAGACCGCAGCATGGCAATATGGGGCTGAATTTTGCTGTAGTTGATGCTTTGCTGAGCAGTCCTTACCAAGTGATGAACAATGAGGAGTCTGGGGTAGCCCAAATGAACCAATGATTCATAAAAATGTCACAAAGGGTGATGTATAACAGAACTAGTGTAAACTTAAAGGTGGTTATTTTTAAATGAGGGATGGGAAAGATGAGAGGGAATAACAGAAAGGGAAAGGAGCAGATGTGGACCCAAAGAAGGCAAGAGAGAAAGAGGAAGAGTAGAGGGGAAGAGAGGAAGTGCCAGAGGAATAAAGACCATGATAATATATCCCAGCACAGCAAGGAAAAAGCAATTTTTTTTTCTCTCATCTCCTCCCCCCCCACCTTAATCCATACAGCTTTTCATCCTGTTTTCCTTCCTTTTTCTTTTTTTTTTTTTTTGCATTCAGTTCACGTTCATTATCTACAACGTACATATAAAAAATCCCTTGCTTCAAAACCCAGCTCCAGAATATGCGAAGGCATCTCTGCAATACCTGCGTATGTCTTTTTATGATTTAATAAAAGTTTCAAGATGGGTTTAAATTTAGTGAAAGAGACGACTAGGGACAATAGTTACCAAAGATTATCAGATCACTTCCCTGGGGACTGAACTCGTGACATTTACTTTCAAAATACAGACAGCTACCTCTTTTGGGGAGCTAAAAAGCTGGCTTCATAACTTGAACTGTTTGGAAGAGCTCATCTGCAGAAGGGGTAATCTCTAGTTTTAAATTCGTGTGTGTGCAGACCTGGATATCAGAGCTTCAAAAAAAAAATAAAATTGCCTACTCAGGGTAATTCAGACTTTTCTACATGTATTTGGTCATCTCTCTCCACAATGTAAAATGCTGTGTTGCTTCTTGAGTGCCTTTGGAATTTTTTATCATCTTTCAAACAAAAGATGTGATCATTGTGGGTGAGAGGGAAGGAATAATAGAAGAAAATCTACTCAGACTAGATAGTAATGAAGATCATATCTCCACAAACTAATAGGATTTCAGCTAAGAATCTGGATAGAATGCAATAAAATAATGTTAAAAAGTTAAGCTTTTCTATTGATTTCTAACAAGGTGTAAGAAACCTGTTATTGTAAAATAGGATGTAAATACTGTTGGTTCTGATGTTTCGCTACTGCTTTCTTCAAGGACACTCTTACTACTAAAAAAGTTTTAGCCCACATCAAAATGCACCAATAAAAATGTAGTTCTTCCCTGAAGTGTAATGACAGCTAAGAAACGCTAATTGAATTACTTTCCTTACAGAAACCTTTAATGCGAGATAAGTGGTGGCTGTATTTGCTAGGTTGCGAGGTTAATATTTGCTCAGCAATGGTTGAAATGGTGTCTTATTACAGTGATGTAGTTGGGGGCAATTCATATTGAAGCCTGTGATACGTATAAATTTTAAGAAATTATTTTTCTATTATCTAGAGTGAAACAGAAGTGAAATAATTTGCATAGCATGACATATCCCTACCCTGATACTGATCTGCTAAAAATCAGACACTTAGTTTAATGACCTGCGCAGTAGATTGTAGTGCCTCAAACTTAAACACCTGAAGTAGAACTTTCAAAAACACCACTGTGATTTAAGAGAATGAATTTCATAGACCTTGCGCTCCCCTATAATTTAAATGTTAAAAAAAAAAAAGAAGCATTTAAGGTTTTTATCACCTAATTTTCTCCCAGACTATAATGTGAGGCTGGCAGCATTTCTGTTCTTCTGTTGTTCCTTTTCCTGTTTTTGCTCCAATTAAATTTTAAAAGTGGACTGCTTATGTATTTGTATAATACCTTGCACAAAGGGGTCTCGTCTGGGTTGTAATACTACACAATAAATCCAAATGACAAAACCAACCAATTTCTAAATGGCATACACTTGGATACCGCCGACTTTATACAAAGTCATAAAAGAAGACTTCTAAAGAGACTTGTACAGAATATTATTACCAGAGACATGAAAGCAAGCATATTTTTCATGTATTAAAGCACCTGGAGGTTTTGCTATGAAGGAGAGTTTTAAAACTAGCTTCGGTAAAACCAAGGCTCAGATGAGGAGACAGGGAATTACTGTTTTGCTGTTGAGGAGTGCAGCTTTGGTAGTAGGAGACTGTAGTTACAAATGAAATTATATTTTAAACATGATCAGAAAACTGTTGGGACCAAAGGGCTAATGAACTATTAATAGTTACTGTAAAAGGTATGCTGTTTATAAGCAACCCATTAGGCCTGCGAGATGCAATAGCCATCTTTTTTTCAAACTTTTGTCACTTACAGATGTGCTGACAGTCATTAGTAACAAGTATTGTTCATATTTGTTTATAAAAGCAGTTAGTTGTTTGTTAATATTTTATAAACTTCCATGGAAAATATGACTTATTAATTGTCGTTACTCATCCCTTATCTGGATTGATTTCAGGTAAGTTTTGCTTTAAATTGAGAAGTCCAAGGCTGAGCCCTGGATTCTGCCTACATTTCCAGGGCTGATGAATTTGTATTTTGTGACTGCAGGCAGAGTTTACAAAGATTAAAGCAAGTCTAGATAACGCTGTTATTAAAGACTTCAGTGATATGCACTTACTGCTCTCAGTCACTACCAGATGTGGAGCAGTAACACTGAAGTACAAAGATAGGAAACAGGGAAATAAATGCTGCTGTAGACAAATGTTCATCGCAGACTGAGCAGGATAATTGACTTACGTGATGGAGCTGTGCTAGTATAGTCTGTCAATATTTTGTCTTTTATAAAGCTTGACTGGTTTGTCTAGCAAACTTTCCTATATTGTTAAAAATATAATTTTCTTAAGATGTAAATGTATACTCTCTTTCCCATTCAAAGACCTTATGTTGTATCTTCTAATGTCCAAATGAGTTCTGTTGGGCTGGCGTCCTTTAGTGTATCACTGGGGAAGTACTTACAAATTGGCAGAAATTTCGGTTAGGTTTTAGAGAGGCTTCGAAGACTGAGGCTGCAGGGGTTTTTTTGAGCTTCATTGGCAGAGTTTCCTGCAGCTTCTATTGGTGCTGGTTTTGTATGTGTTTGAGTATCCATAGTTCTTACTGTTTCTATGGAGTACCAAGTGATGGGAAGGAAGAAGTCATCCTGCCTTTTGGCAGGACAGTTGCCTGCCTTTTCTCTTGAATGCTGGGTCCTGCTTACAATTCATTTAAAAATAACAACCCCAAGCCCTAAGACGAATCATCTACTTTTACTTACTTAAGATATTGAAATGTACATTCAAGCTAGTGCAGGGTTTGAATGCTCACATGCGTATGCTTCAGAGTAGCAAGTCCTGGTATCTGCTGTGCTTTCTGCACACGGACAGGATCAACCCAACTGTAATCATCAGTTGCGGAGGGTGACTGCATACTATGGTATGATCCACAGCATTTGTTACTTCTTACTTTCACTGGATAGTAAGTACTTAAAATAATTTTAGCATGCTAATTAATGGGTGCCTCATTGTTCCTAATACTGGTCATCCTAATGTTGTATTTCTGTCTTGAGACTATCAAAAGAAAATGATCTCATTTAGTATGGAAGTCCCTTTCTATATAGGAAGAGATTAATCTGTTGTGTACCTTCTCTCAGACCAGAGTGATTTCATAGTGAGAGGAATTTGCCTTCTTAGTGTGTTTCCAAAAGTGCGTGAAAAATGTGAGGAGGGGAAAGCAGCATGGATGTGCTGAACTACATTGTGAGTTACTGATACCATCCCCGATACTGAAGGGTATACTCCGACCTAGCGTATTCCTGGGGAAGCGGGGAAGGTGATGGACGGACACTGGGGCTTGCTGGTGCGGATGCAAGCAACAGTTAGCTATTAATGGTATCGCCTCCTCGGGGAGGGGGCACGCCAACAGGCAAACATACTGTAACAGTGGGTGGTCGCTGGGCATCTGGAGCTGGCAACCGATGGCTCCTAAGAGCCAAAGGCATGCCTCTGCTTTCACACACACACCCCCCCAGGCAAATGGATGCCTCTCCGTGTGAGCACGTATCGGGGTGACTCCGGCTGCTCTCCCCAGCCAAGCAGCGGAGCGTTCACCTCGCAGCCA